GAGAGAGAGAGAGAGAGAGAGAGAGAGAGAGAGAGAGAGAGAGAGGAAGAGAGAGAGAGAGTATGTGTGTGATGCATGCATGTATGTCTGTGCATATGTGTACAGTGCCCACAGAGACTAGAAGACAGGGTCAATCCCCATAGAACTGGTGTTACAGATGGTTGTGAACTACCATGTAGGTGCTAGGAATCAAATCCTGGTCCTCTGGACTAACAGTCAATGCTCTTAACCACTGAGCTTTCTTTCTAGCCTCTCAAGCTTCCTCTTAAGCTCTTTTTTGAGATGCTCCCTGGTAACATATTTGTAATAAGTATAACATTCTATGGTCATTGCTTCTATGTCCTATTATCTTTGGAAACGATTATGCATAAACAATCTGATCTTTTCAGTGACTACTTGTTAAGTGACACCAGAGAACTGTGGGCTTAGTCCTTCTTGATCCTTTCTTATCTAACCCTATGTTTGAAAATGTAATATTAGATGGATTTTACATGACAGGTGTGATTTTTTTTCAAATGCTATTCAAAACCTTTCCCCAGATTATCATTTTTTTCTCAAATGAACGTCTCAATTGTTTAAAATGGCTTACATAGAACAACAGAGCTGCTGCTGTTCTGGTCTTATCAATACTCTGTGCCTACCTATGTGTTCCTTTGCATCCCTCTTCCATGTACACTTCGTCTTCCCATATGATAAAGTCATTCTATTTCCTCCAAAGTTTCCTCTTGAAGTTTTTTTTCTTCTCTGCCATTCATCCTCTTTTATTCTTTCCTTGAATTTTGCTACTCTACTTTTTGACCCACACATGCACTATTTTAGATGGGGTTTTCCTAATCATGTAGCAATGCAGATAAAATTAGTTTTAGAGCTGGAGTCAAAGGTCAAGGATCTTGTAAACCACAATGAGAAAGAAAGCACTGTATGAGTGAAGAAACCCTTTTCTAGTCAACACAACACAAAGCCTGAAGAGAAAGGAAGTGACAGTTGAGGAGCTACAGAATTCCTTTGTCTTGGGGGGAAAGGAGTAATGTGAAAAAGTGTCTCAGGTCACAGTGAGAGCTTCAGTTGGCCTCTGCTAAGGAATGTCAAGCTCAGTTATTCATGGTACAACCTATGTATATTTAACAAAATTGTACTGTAAAGCTAAGCAATCTCTGGAGATTTTTATTTATTACTTACAGACATTGAATCTCACCTCAAAACTTAAACTTGGTCTTTCAAATAGCAGACTGTGTACATTATTGATATATGTCTTTTAAGTTATATAACTTGATTCTGTTTGATAGTTTACTGGTGAATTATGGCTACATTCACATGGTAGCAGGCATTTCAGCTGCATAAAAATAATTACTAAAACCTTAAATGCACATCCAGCTGTAAAAGTACACACATCTGTAATTCCACTGCTAGGAAAGCTGAGACAGAATGGTCCTAAGTTTAAAGCAAGCCTGGTCCACATAGGAAAGCCTTGTCTCAAAAAACTGCAAAGAATATTTCATTTAAAATTAATATTATGTGATACATTCTACAGAAATGTATACTTGAATGGTAATCAAGAATATTGATATTCAGTTATCTTTTTGTAATAAAATGTTCTCTAGAAGTGAATTCAATATTAAAACATTTAAAGATGTTTGTGTACAAAAAGCAATAATGAACCCTTTTTCCTTTTTTATTGCTGAGGAACACACCCAGGACCTGAAACAAGATACACAAGCACTTTACAACTAACCTTCAATGTCAGCCCTTAGACCTTTAAAGACAGAGTCTTCCTATAGAGTAGCCAAGGCTAGCCAAGAATGCGCAATATAATCTAGGCTGGCCTCAGACTTATGATCCTCTTGCCTCTACTTCTCAGTTCCGGAGATTATAGGAGAGTGTCAGTTTGGCAGGAGCTTCATTTTTTTTTCCTCTGAAAAGCTTGTAGCTATTTTATGGACTCGCCTAATCTAGCTTACCAACAGTGAATGACTCTTGCATATGGAATCAGAATTTTTAGGAATCTAGCAGAAAATATAAAAAAAAAAACCATGAGCAAATAAAAAACACTGTGACATCTTAGAATATTAGAATAGGTGTTTGGGGATTTTTTTTCTTGTACAACTGACAAAATTCAAATAATGATACTTGTTTTAGCCAATAAAAATGTTTTTGTTGTGGAAGTGTAGAACCAAGTGTACAAAATGCCCTGCTCTTTGAAAAAGGAAAGCTGAGTATTGTGCTCTTTTCTGTAGAAGTCCTAAGCACAATTCTGAGACATTGTTACTATTACTCCTAGCATGGTTAAAAGACTTCCAGTCCTTAGGAACTACCTTCCTGGTGCTCAGTGAGCACAGAGTTACACAGATTATTATCATAATTTATTGCCACATCTAATTAAGAGAGTTAGCTTATTCTAGATGTCAGCAAACGTCACAAGGGCATACAATTCAATTCTTCGTTTGGCAACCATGACTAAGTGTTCTCTTACATTCATGTTACTGCGGTGGCTCTTACTGGACTCATATCCCGCTCTTATTTTCTGGTTCTGCTTGAATCCAGGAACTTCATATAACTTGTTAGACCTAGAATATTTCAGCTGTGTAATTTTGACTAAAGCTTGACTAACTAAGTGTTGTAAATGACAAAGGATAAATTTAGCATTTTGAAGACATTAGATTCACTTGGATGTTTTAATCAAGAACTTATATTTATTATAGTAAAGTAGCCAACTAACCTATATCTACAATTATACAATTATATCACAACCATCTGTAACACCAGTTCTATTAAAATGCCCTAAGTGTAGTAAGTAAAATACTGAAAAACAAAACAAAACAAAACTTCATCTCTACCATACATATTCTTGATTTACCTTAATGAAAGTTCTAAATATTTATTACCATGAATTTATTCATTTTAATGCAATTTTCTTTTTTGGGGTTTTTTAAGCAAAAATTTCTACCTAATATTGTTACTTTGCTTAAAAAAATGTTATTCCTTGTGGATTCAAAGTCTCTTAGCAACACTTTCTTGACTCCGTGGTCTCTAGACAAAGATTCTGTTTTGTTTCTCCATGTACCCTTTGATGGAATGCCTTGAGAAGGACATGTTATCTCCGCAATTCTTGCGAATGATTCAAAAACTCTCACTCTATCAGTCTGAAATCATGAGAAAACATCCTGAAGTCTCAATGAAAGAATATCCTATAACTGATCCTCTTCTAAACCTCATAATAACTCTCGTTCCATTCAATAAACATACTGTCAAAAATGAGACATTATATAAATTTGACAACCATGGACAATGCTTAACAATTATTCTCTTAGCTATTTCAAATCAATGGAATGAGCCAATTCTTACCAGTCAATTCATTTTAAATAAGTGGGTACAAATGGTTTTACACTTTATTTCCTTCATTTCTTTCCACAGGAGACTCAGCCAACCTCACCTGCAGAGCTTTCTTTGGGTACAGTGGAGATGTCAGTCCTTTGATTTACTGGATGAAAGGAGAGAAGTTTATTGAAGATCTGGATGAAAATCGAGTTTGGGAAAGTGACATTAGGTAAAATAATTTTTCTTCTTTTAAACATGTGCAGCTGAGTTAACATTTGCTCTGCTAAGTGGGGAGAGGGTGAGCTAAAACAGAAAAGATTTTTAATAATTTTATCTATTATCATAACAGAAATACTGTGATACTTTATGTCAAAGAAGCAAAGACGTGTTAAGACTGACTATGGAATTACAAAATGTGAATGCCATTTACAAAAAAAATTAAGAGTAATTCTTTTCTTTTTAAATATTTTTATTAATTCTTTGGGATTTCATATAGTATGTTTTGATCATAATCACAAACATAGCTCCCTTCCCCACATAAGAATAATTTCCAAAGGAACATTTCACTAGTAGTACACTAAAACCAAATAACCCATTCTAAGCTTAGAAAAATCATTGTGCTTTTTATTTATAAAGGCATCTTTTAAATTTTATTGAGAGGAAGCAGGCATGGTGGCTAATGTCTGTAGTCACAGTGCTTGAAAATCTCAGACAGGATGTTTGCTATGAATTGAAGGCCAACCTGGGTCATATGTGTTCAGTGGCAGCCTGGGCTAGAGTGAGGCACTATCACTAGCAATAAATGTGAAAGGAACCATTAGCTAGGCACTATATGGACTCAAATGAAACCTTTACATTTTCCTTGGTTGTTTTTACATATGTAAGTTATGGAGGAGAATATAAACTGTTTGATGGGAGGATATGCAAATTTTTGTTATCTTTCCTACTCTAACTTTAAGGTATAAATATTTATGAAGAGGATATCATAATAGAACAAACTTTTAAATTTTTAGGTATCTATTTTGAGGGCATAATGTTTATACTTCTTTTTTTTCAATGTACTTACATATCTATTTACTTATATTTAAGTATCAAAGTATTCAAAGGTGAAACAAATTATATTTGGGCATGAAGAGATAGTTCTAATCATAATGTAAATGATCAAGGAAGAACATACATAATGATAACTAAAGTTTATCCAAATACAAATGATGGATATTTTCTAAATATTATTCCATATAGAGCTTGTGTCTTCTGACTGGATATGAGGATTTAAGTGATGGTTTTCCTTTTTAAATGCCAAGACTTTTTAAAACTTTAACAAAAATATAAGAGAAAGTGTTTTTCAGTAAAAAGCAAAAATGTATAAAACTGTCATAGAAGATCATTTCTATTGGGATCTTCTCTCTGGCACAAAAAAACAAAAAAACAAAAAAACAAAAAAAAAAACACACAATATTTCATTCTGGACTGCTCCAACTGGATTCTCGAAGATCCAAATGGGCACTTCTCCAATATAGATAAAAATCTTTCTTTGCCTTTTTCATATTTAAAGTTTCACTTTTTATCATTTACCAATACTTTTTGAGTTTTTAAAATTAAAGAAGTACTGTAAGCCTAAACTGTCTAACTTTAACTGTATGAGCTTAACAGTAAAGTCTAGAAAGTTATTTATTAAATAAGATAACACACACGCACACACGCACGCGCACACACACACACATCCATCCAGGCAGGAGTTTGGAACTAGGAATACTGAGAGCAGGAAGAAGGAAAAGAAATTTTCCATTTGTTTTGAGAGATTGCTAAAATATGAAACAATCAGATTAGTGAGCATTTAACATTAATTGTAAGAGTCAGAATTAAACTTTTGTTCTCTCAGTTAATGGTTTCATATTTCTTTAAACTATGCAGCTTGTTTGTATCATTAGAAAAAGTAAGTCAGGCTGGAGGTTTCAACAGATATGTCAAAATAACTCATAAATGTTCTCTTACTTTCTTACTCTTTAAAAATAATCGGATACATAATTAGTCCTCCAGCCTAACATTTTAAAATCTCTTATCTCATTTTTTACATCATATTTCTTCTTAAATGAAAAACAATTTGTAAACTTTTTTTCAAGGTCTCTCTCACCTCTTTATTATGACAGCATGATTGTCCTGCTATGAGAGATAATTAACTGCAAGTTCATTAGCATCTCCAAAGACAAGCTTCTTCATTAGAAGTGAAGAAGAAAAGGGCACGATATCGTTTAATTAACTTAGCATCAATTCATAGCCAGATCTGAAGCACAAACTCTGTAGGTAGATTCTCATCAGATTCAGATTCATCTGCATTTCTTTCTTTTTCATGTATGTGTATGTGTATGTTTGTGTGGGGTTTTTTGTTGCGTTTCCTTTATGTTTTAGAATTCTTAAGGAACATCTTGGAGAACAGGAAGTTTCTATCTCATTAATTGTTGACTCTGTGGAAGAAGGTGACCTGGGGAATTATTCCTGTTATGTTGAAAATGGAAATGGACGTCGGCATGCCAGTGTTCTCCTTCATAAACGAGGTGAGTGTAACCTTCCGTGCCTAAGAGTTAAGATGAAACTTCCTTAGACGGGAAATCACTGGACTCTAGTAAAAGAAAACTATTGTTTTTATTTCCACATAAAACTAGCACAAATAAAATAATTACATTAGCATTGTGTGCATGAAGGTGGTAGTTGCTTCATGTCCATCAACACAGTGTTCAGAAGCCAGTACCCCAAAGGTGAAATCTGGTAGAAAAAAAGCCTGGTTTGTTTTAATAGCTAGCACCTGAGAAAATAGCTATTAGTCTCTAGATGAATGACGTTCTTAGAGAACTCTAGTATAGAAAGAAATGGACTTGTAGGAAGTAGAAAGGGAAGAGCAAGGGACAACAGGAAAGAATGTTATGTCCTCTGAGGGCCTTTATTACCCAAACAACTCCCCATTCCTGAGTGTGACTCCCACTCCTGAAGCTGGTAATTGATTGTGACCTCTTGGGCTAGTTTCTGTATTTTTTTTAAATTAGTATAACTGGCCTGAGAGTTAATCCTCATAGCAATTGGCATGCTTTTTGTTTGCTGATGCACAGAACAAGAATAAAAAAGAACACATCTTGATTTGGTCTGAGGGCATCCAGCTGTTCTGGGTTTTGTAAATCTGAAGATCATTTAGCAGTTAACATCTTCATCATTTCGATGCAGCTTTCTTCAGAATAGCAAACAATGATGAACCACAAAGGGACAACCACTATTACAGAAAAAGAGAGCATCATAGATGGAGTGACTAAATCAAACTCTAGAGTCAAATTTGGTTTCTTTGCCTTGCTTTAATATCAAATATATAGCCTAAGCAAGGCGTTCTCAAGTGCTGGTTTCTGATATGTAGATTGGAGAAAATATTATCAACTCTTCAGTGTTTTATAAATATAAAATAAGACAATGAATGGGAAGGGCTCAATAAAGTACCTATACACAGAAGATGTTTAGTTAAATGGTATTTGTTATTATAAGAAATAGGCATTTGGTCATTAAAATAACTGCATTTTTAATAAATAAAATAGAGTGTGTCGTGATTAGAAGGTTGTTCCATTAGTGCAAGAACTGGGCCTGATGAATTCCCCAACACAGAATTTCTTGACATTTTTAACTTTGTAATTTTTTTTAATATACAATATCCTTCTATGATTAATACTATCTTATTAAAAGATGGGCTGTATTTGAGGGCAGTATCTGAAATAGCAACTTTGTCTCCACAGCAGCATCATCAGCTTATGCACAGGTGTGTGTGTGTGTGTGTGTGTGTGTGTGTGTGTGTGTGTGTGTGTGTTGTTTGAAATTAGTGATGATTATAAAATATGACCTATGCCTTTGAGTTAGTGAAATTTTTATGCACATTAGAGGAGAAATTTTTCGGCATTATGTGAAGTTAAAACATTCTAGTCTACTTATTCCAAGTGCGCTTGGTACTCTCTTACTCAGCAGATTTACAATGATTTTAATTTCAAAGCATATCTTCAATCCTAGAGTCTTTGAGGCTTGAAAAGAAAGGGAACACTGAAGACTATTCCCTACCTTATTGGGAAACAGATTCTCTTTGAATAGTGTTGCTGAAAGCCATTAAAATAAACACCTTGACTGTCAAGGACACTATACTATTATTAAAGTAGCATATTATGCTGGAATGTGAGGAGAGAAGAAAAGTAAGCAGCAGCTAGTAATGTTTCTTCCTGTCCCTTAACATATAGTTAAACAATGAGGGAATTTACATACCCATGCATTTATATAAGCACAAAAGCAGCCTCAGCGTGGAGAGCAACTTAAATTCTATAGACTTAACAACTTATCTTGCCATAGCACTTTCAAAATAACATACCAGCTTATACTGGATCACATTCAATCTCTAGGAAATCCATTATATATTTGGAATAATCTGTTAAAAAGCATCTCCATTTCTTTAGTTGTCTATCCATTGGCTCTAGTCTACACTTTCAATTGCTATTTCCCTAGCAATCAGATGGTTGATAATAATCACTATGACCCTACTGAACTTCAATTTCACCAGATTCAGCTTCTCTAGCTCCCTCGACTTATTCCTCATTTATATGTATCATTCTTGTCACTCTCTTGAATATAGACCAAATGAAGAGTTTACAGTAATCCTTAAGAATTAAAATGGTGAAGAAAAGCTTATGGAACATGATAAAAATCTATTGGTTTGGGGGCTAGTGAGATGGTTCAGTAGTTAAGAGCACTTGTTGCTCTTGCAGAGAACCTGAGTTTAGTTCCCAGCAACTATATTGTGGCTACCAACCATTTCATACAAAACACTCCTATGCATAAAATAAAATAAACCTAAAAAAGATGTTTAAGTCTATTGATCTGACAACATATATATCCATTTGGAGCATGGAAGGGATGACAGTTAAAGGATTATCATAAGAAAAAGGGAATGACAATGTATTGGATGTATGGGTGAAGCTAATAAAGCTGGTTTGCAGGCAGGCATGATGTTAGTAAGAGTCAGATACACTCTAGGATATTTCTAGCATGTTTACCCTATGGTTAAGCATACACAGCTACTAAAACTTCCAATTACATAAAAAATACAGTTTTGAAGAATCAAGGAAATTATTTCATAAGAAATGTCATTAATGTCTGATTCTGTGAATATGAGGAAGACAAACATGGCCAGTTTTAGTTGCTCTCAAATACTTAAGTTTTCCATGATATTTTTCCAAATCTATATTATATCAGCTATACTTTTTCTTATTAAGATAAAAGCATTAATCCTCAAAAAGTCCTTCAAGTTTGTGTACTCTGAAAGTCTCTTTTTTAAGTGAATGTGCCCCTTCTTTGAAGGGAGTTGGAGCAAAGGAGTCTTTCCTTGCAAGGAAATAATAGATGCAATCTTATCTCAAATGACTCAAAGGTCATTCCATCTCAGTGTATGGAATAACCACACTCATCCTGGGAACAAAGAGGATTTTGATCAGCATATGACATAACTCTAACTTCACCTACCCTACAAAGTTCAGGAAGACAGTACACAGCAAATAAGATCCCATAGGTTTGAATTTTCAATGAGATTGTCAGACTTCTGTCAGGCTATCAATTATGCAATTATCAAATAATTTTCTATATTACTCAGAGGACTAATACTCAGAGAAACAACTGGAAGCTGCCACTGTTAATCTTTTGTTTTTGCCACCAACTTAAAACTTCTCTACAGGTTTTCAAAAATCTTCCTTTTAAACTTGACCTTGGAGAAATACATTGGAACAGTTGTTTGATCTATAGCAGTGGTTCTCAACTTTCCTAATGCTGCAACCCTTTAACACAATTCTTCATGTTGTGGTGACCTCCAACCATAAAATTATTTTCCTTGGGACAATATAACTGTAATTTTGCTACTGTTGTGAATCGCAATGCAAATCTATGCTTTCTGATGGCCTTAGGCGACTTCTGTGAAAGTGTTGTTCAACACACCCCAAGGGGGCTGCAAACCACTCATCTAGATCTTGAGCATTAGGACCTGTAACTTCTGACAGATAAAGTTTCTCTGAAGATCTCTAAGCATATTTCCTCCGATGTTACTTTTTGTCCAATGCTATCGATATAATATGATGTCAGAGCCCTCCAATGGGTGGCATGGACTCTTGGAAAGATTACTCCTGTCTAACAAATGAGTCTACGTTTGAGGTGGGCTGGATGCTGTTATTAGCCTTCTATTTTTATTTGGAAAAATCATGATTTTATCAAGGCCAGCGGAAATCTACCAGGAAATTTGACCAGAGAAAAACCTGTCTCAATATCTAAAGTTGAAGCTGGAGAAATGGCTCAGCATTTAAGAGCACTGGCTGCTCTTCCAAAGGTCCTGAGTTCAATTCCCAGCAACCACATGGTGGGTTCTATAATGGGATCTGATGCCCTCTTCTGGCCTGCAGGCACACATGCAGACATGCAGATAGAACACTCATACCTAATATATATATATATATATATATATATATATATATATATATATATATATATATATACAATTTAAAAAATATATCTAAAGTTGTTTAACTTCTGTTGCCAAAAACAATGCTTGGATGATTAGAATCATGTCAGATACTAAGAGGGAGAGAGTTAAAGACAGAAGGGCCATGAGGTACTATTTGTCTATGAGTGCCCTGAGTCTTGTTCCTCACTCCAGGAAACTGCCCATGTTAACTTAGCTTTGCTGGGCCTAGAAAGCTTGAGAATTAGATACTGGTTTCAAAAAGAGCCAACAAAGATCTTCACCTAGGGATGGGATCTTGTGAAATTTTCCCCGGTGTTTTCATTATGCAGGTCTCGTTTAGGCAACCATATTTTTGAGATTTCATGGGCTCAGTCTTCTTGAAATTTCTAGAAAACACTATCTAGCAGTGTGTGTGTGTGTGTGTGTGTGTGTGTGTGTGTGTGTAAACAATAATTAAAGAATATGAGCCTAAGAATTTGAGAGGGAATGGTAGGAATGTGGAAGAAATTGGAAGGGGTAAAAGGAGGGCAAAAATTAAGTGAATACAGTATCCATGTATGAAATTCTCAAATTTTTAAAAATTTAAATAAAAAGAACAAAAGTAAAGGTCTTATATATCAGTTGCTGGGTTATTTCTTATTCCTGCCCATAGCTGATTAAATTTTCTGTCTATGTCTCTGAATATTTACTCAGATTCCTTTGCTTGGGTCTCTAGTTGCTGTTGCCTGTCTTGACACACACCAAGCCATCAATTTTTCTCCAAACCCTGGCCTTTCCTTTTCTCTCTATGTTGTATGTTTTCCATTTCTCCAATACAACAATACTATATATCAGTGTTTCTCAACATTCCTAATGTTGTGACCCTTTGATACAATTCCTCATGTTGTCATGACCCCCAACCACAAAATTATTTTTGTTGCTCCTTCATAACTGTAATTTTACTATTATTATGAACCATCATGTAAATATTTGTGTTTTCCAATGTTCTTAGGTGACCTCTGTGAAAAGGTCATTTGACCCCAAGGGGGTCACAAC